TCATTTATGTCCATAGTAAGGTCTTTTTTACTTCATTCAATTATTACTATTATTGTATTTTTATTGAAAATGGCATAATAAACAAAATATCAGTGATAATTTTCATTTAATGCATAATTGTTTAAAAGTACCATATTTTCCCTTCATTTCCTCAAAAAATTAGAAATGTTCATTAATTTAAGTTTAATATTTTTTAAAAACAAATGAGGGGGCGGCACGATTAAAATTTCGATATCGGCCAAATAAGAACCACCCTACTATAGTATATGTATATAAATGCTGTGATAAATAATGTAGGTATATTATTTCTTAAAAGTATTTTAAAACAAAAATGTATATTGATAACACTGTGCAACACCAAAAATCAAACCGCACCGGACTATTTTTTTCTGAAAATATACCTATCCAATAGCAAAACCCTCGCTGGGTTTGTAAAAGTTAGCTCGATTTATTTTTTTATGGCCGTTTGTATTTTCTAGCTTCATATACCCCAATTTAGACTTATTAATCGATTTTTTTCGCATTTATTCGATTTATATCGTCAAGATTTTTTGTAGAAATGTAGTTACTGAACAAATAAACCCATTTTGTGAACAACCTATATCCCAAAATATTCGAAAAATATTTTTTTTTTAAATTTTTCGATAATATTTAAAATTTCTTGCTACTTCTTCTGATAAAAATGTTGTAAAGTATACTAAAAGAAGTAATTTATAAAATACGCACACAAAACTAAACTTTAAGTTTACTTATTTGCTTGAAAACAATTTTTAAACAAGATTTTCCAAAATATTCATCTTTTCATACTCAACACCAAATTTTTTTCCGAAATCTTTGAAAATCTGTAGAAAAAACTTGAATAGATAAAATAGAATTGTAGAAAAGTACAGAGAGTTTGATTTTTTATTTTGTATTAATTTTATTATTAAAAAACTTTTCTATATCAAAACATTGAGTAATCTGATTCATTTCTGGAGAATTCCATACCTTCCACTTCTTCTCCTTTATTTTCTTGTTCTTCATTTTCATTCTTCACTGGAGAATTCCATCGCTTCATTTCATATATTTTTTATATTCATTTCATTTCAGGCTGATATTCGGAAATTGGTAAAGTATGAAGACTTTGACAGGGCCTTGGTTGACAATGAGTTTCGTGGGCGTCGATAAGAGAAATCATCCTTGGACTTTTAGGCAAACATCGTTCTCCCAATTATGAAGGATCTGTGGGACAAATGTTGGATGTTTTTTTTCCAAAATTGGAATCAATATGTCGCTAAAAATTCATTTCCCTCATCGCCATTTCGACTACTTTAGTCGACAGTTATCGACACAATCATCAAACTGCGATGCCATTTGAGTCCAGATAAAGAGGAAAACGACCTCCAGATGCCATACTAGCCGAAACATTTTGCTAAAGTAAACATATTTTTGACTACGATCAGGAAGAAAATGAAAATGAAGAACAAGAAAATAAAGAAGAAGAAGTGGAAGGGATGCAATTCTCTAGTGTTGAATCAAAAAACGAAAATGAAGAGCAAGGAAATAAAGGAGAAGAAGTGGAAGGGATGGAATTCTTCAGCAATGAATCAGATTACTCAATGTTTTGATATAAAAAAGTTTTTTAATAATAAAATTAATACAAAATAAAAAATCAAACTCTCTGTACTTTTCTACAATTCTATTTTATCTATTCAATTTTTTCCTACAGATTTTTCGGCAAAATATTTGGTGTTGAGTGTGAAAAGATGAATATTTTGGAAAATCTTGTTTAAACATTATTTTCCAGCAAATAAGCAAACTTAAAATTCAGTTTTGTTTACGTATTTTATAAATTACTTCTTTTAGTATACTTTACAACATTTTTGCCAGAAGAAGTAGCAAGAAATTTTAAATATTATCAAAAAATTTAAAAAAAAATTATATTCGAATATTTGTTCCCAAAAATTGGGTTTTTGGGATAAAGGTTGTTCACAAAATGGGTTTATTTGTGCAGTATCTACATTGCTACAAAAAATCTTGACGATATAAATCGAATGTATGCGAAAAAAATCGATTTATAGGTCTAAATTGGGGTATATGAAGCTCGAAAATACAAACGGCCATAAAAAAAAAATTCGAGCTAACTTTTACAAACCCAGCGAGGGTTTTGCTATTGGATAGGTATATTTTCAGAAAAAAATGGTCCGGTGCGGTTTGATTTCGATGACCCGAAAATTGTCGCACAGTGTAATTTAACTTATTTTTGTTGTTTTTTTTTTACGAAAATATGTATGTATACATACATATTTATAAATATTTGTTAAAAAAAACTTTTTTTTTAAATGTAAAGGGTGTTTTCTTATAAATGGGACACTCCTATGAAATCTTTATTAGAATATCGAAAAAATTTAAAATCCAGATGCATTGTTTAAAAAAGTAATTTTTTTGACAAAAATTCAAAAACAAAAAAGCATCGGTAAATTTAATAAAATAGCATCGGCATTGTTTTTTTAATGAAACACCCTGTATATTTTTGAAAAACAATTCAATTGGGCTACCACTAGATCAATTCTAAATTAAAAAGAAATTTTGTAAAATTTTGAAGTTAATTGATCAGAAGAAACACGTGTCCCTGAGGGTTTTTTTTTAAGATAGGTAATTTATGAAATTGTAAGTGTTATTTTTGCAGATTTTTTTTAATTCAAACATATACCTACAAATTATATATATGTGTATTTGAAATTATAATAAAAAACTCTATCTAAATGTTCAAAAATATACAGGGTGTTTCATTGGAAAAATCAATGTTATATCTACATATGTATTTCATCAATTTTACCGATGTTTTTTTGTTTTTTAATTTTTGTCAAAAATTTTTCATAAAATTATTTTTTCAAACAATGCAAGCTAGATTTTTTAATTTTTTAATTTATTTTCAAATAAAGATTTTAAAGAAGTGTCCCATTTATACGAAAACACCCTGTACATAAATATATTTTTAATGTCAATTAAAATATCAAATACCAATTAAATACATCAATTTTACCAATGCTTTTTTGTTTTTTAATTTTTGTCAAAAAATTTTCATAAAATCACTTTTTTGACCATGCAGCTAAATTTTTTATTTTTTTAATATAATATTTTTAATTTAATATATGTGATACAATATAATAATATTTTCAAATAAAGATTTTAGAGGAGTGTCCCATTTATACGAAAACACACTGTACATACATAGATTTATTTTTAATGGCAATTAAAATAACAAAAATTATCAATATTAAAAATATCAAATACCAATTAAATACATCAATTTTATCAATGCTTTCTTGTTTTTTAATTTTTATCAGAAAAATTACTTTTTAAACCATGCAAGCTGGATTTTTAAATTTCTCCTTGAATAAAGTTTTTATACGAAAACACCCTGGACATACATAATATTATATTTATACATACCACAATTAAAATATCAAATAGGGTACCACTTACATACATAATATGTATGTAAGTGGTACCCTATTTGATATTTTAATTGTGGTATAAATGTATAAATATAATATTATGTATGTCCAGGGTGTTTTCGTATAAAAACTTTATTGAAAGAGAAATTTAAAAATCCAGCTTGCATGGTTTAAAAAGTAATTTTTTTGATAAAAATTATTATTATTATTACTAATAATAATTATTAATTAACTATCTACCAACTTTATCTAATTAATATTTATAATAATTAATAATAATAATTATTAATTAATTATCTACCCAATTATTATTTAATTATCATTTAAAAGTAAAATTCTATTTTAAAAAAATATGCCTCTATGTATACATACATATATATAATGTATACATTTTTAATTAAAAATAAATAAATTTCACACGTTTCAGAGGCATATTTTTTTTAAATAGAATTTTACTTTTAAATGATAATTAAATAATAATTGGGTAGATAATTAATTAATAATTATAATTATTAATTATTATAAATAATAATTAGATAAAGTGGGTAGATAGTTAATTAATAATTATTATTAGTAATAATAATTATATAATGAAATAGAATAGAAATTACCTCTCAGAACAGCACTAGGAATTGTAAATAAATAAATAAATTCTTTTGGTTACTTACTTTACTCAATAATGAAATAACAAACTCCACTAAATCCAGACACAAATAATATTATGACTGCAAATAAAAAATTGTGTTGTCGTCTCGTTGCTAAGCGACGAGTTTAGTGAAAGGAGGGGTAAGAAGCTTGCGTGGGAGATCGGAATTTCAAACAAATACCCCTTATTTTATCATATTTTCAAGCTTGGAACATTGGTGGGTAGATGGCGACACCTTACGGACACATTTTCTTGTAAATTAATAATAATACGCCTGGCACAGATCATCCTACCACCTTGCGTCTCTTCACACACTTTACTCAATGGTATAAGTATAGTATCTAGTAATAGGCGCCAAATTTTTAAGTGCCTAAGGCGCTGGATTGCCTTAAGCCGGCCCTGCCTTCGGCCCTTACGTAATTAATAGACCCCGTATTTGGGTATAATTTAAAAAGTTCATTCATGCCCCATCTATATTTACACTACAACAACAAAAAGCATCTTAAAAATTAATCTAGCAATCCCTGTATTCAGCGAACCGCCACCTATAATGTAAAATAAGTAGCTCACCACAACGCCATCTACCTTTGACTAAGCGTGTTATACAATCCCCCCTTTTTGTTTTACAGGAAAACAGAGATCTATAATGACATACGTCAACCGGTGAATGTAAAATAAACGCCACGTAAATACTTTTAGCAACTAAATACCGGGATAAACTGGTAGTTTACACACATTTAATCCATGTAAGTACATTTTTAGATCCTTTTAATAAGCCTTTACACTCACAACATAAAGTTTACAAAAGTTCAGCGTCACAAAACAGTTTTTTGGTTAATAAACATTGACGAGTGTCATTGGCGTTTGTACAGTAAAAATATGTCCAAATTCTATGAAATATTGGGTTAACGTACCTTTATATGTGTTCTTGAAGCTTCCAATGTAATATTAGGTCACTAATGTTTTACTAAACAACTACTAATTTTTTGTAATACTTTTTTTTGAATTTTAACGAATTGTGGCTCCATCACGTCACTGACGCGGGTAGTGAGCCTTTTTATCGATCGAGGGCGGTTAAAATTTGAATTATTTTTAATTAAATAAACTAAGAAACAAAAATAACGAAATTTTACCATAAAAAATAACGCCTTGATGTGTAAAATATATTTTATCTTCAAGTGTTCTATAATTTAAACTTTATTATTGCCAACATGATTGATGCAGTAAAAATAATTTAGACCAATCGGGTTAAGTTTTTTACCTCCTGTTCTTTAAAAAACCCGTTGGGACCAATAAAAAAATGTTACTACTGTCAGATCCATTCAACCTCACTTTCAACTTTTAACGTTTAACAAATTATGCCTTGAAGATAAAATTTTTGTACTTATGTCAAACTCAAACTTTTAGCTCAGCACAAAAAGACTCACTTCTCAGCCTAATGACATAAATAACTATTATTATAATAACTAATTATTAACTAGTTATTATAATATTAGTATGAAATAATAACTTATTTGGTTTGTTTTAGAATGGTTACCGATATCCACCTACAAATTTTATCAAACACCTTGGGAGTCATTCTATTTCTTCTGGTGGTCTTATTCCATTACATCAGTGCAAACTACAAATAGGAACCAAACTTATAGACTTATTCTACTGTGTAAAATTTATTTTTAAAACATGTCATAGTATTTTTGTTATATTTTAAGAAATACAATGATCTAATCAATGTAAGTATTTTTATTTTGTATCTACGTATTGTTGGTTGCCTACCATACCAAATTTTAAACTTTAATTTTTCTATTTAAAATAACTTCCAAAATAAAAACTAATATAGCAAAAATATATCCAAAAGCTAGTAAATAAAATGCTCCATTTACATGAGCCAATTTTAAATTAACAAACTGAGTATCTTTAGAATGAGTATTGAAAAGTATTGCTTTTTCTACTGTTGTATCCAAATTATCTAAAACGACCTAAAATTTTTTATATAGGCACTTTGAATTAATTTATTATGTGTATTTTTACTCTTGTTTCTTGATACTCTGACAATCCAGACTGAAAAAATCTCAGTATAAAAAAATCCAAAACGTCCAATAAAACAGAATTTTTTCTGTGCATGTATATCCAATAGTCCCAATAAATGTCTTCTTTCATTATTCTATAATTTCCTATGACATCCTTCTGTATGTAGTTTTGTACTCCATAATGTCCTATAAATAAAATATTCATGTTATTATTTTTATAGATAAATTTGTTTCATAATACCGTATGGTAATCTTTCCATAACAAAGCCATATTTGTTCATTAACGACATATTTCTCATAACATTGCTATCATTATAAACAAAATTCTTGATAATTGTTCTGAATTTAGGCTAAAAACATATTTTATGTCATATTTTGTATTTTAAAACTAGTTCAAACTTTAAAATTATAAAAAATATTTTCAAAAATCAAAGAGAACTAAATGTTGTTAATTAATGTGATAAATAACACTTGATTACAAATTAATTAAAAAGAAATTTTCACTCGGTGCCACTATTTTTGTCTAATGAATTTTAAGCTCGAAAATTAAAATAAAAAATATTTTATGCAAGGTTTTCGAGATATGACTTTTTTTTCAAATGCAGCTTTACAATTTGTCATATCTCGAGTTAGAAACGGCCAATCTGGTTGCAAAAGGTGTCTAATTAAACATAATCGAATCGCTGATAAATATCTCTCTTAATGCCCAATCAAAAAATACTTTTTTTGACAAAATTATAATTTCTTATAAGAATGCTCCATTTACCTTGTCGCCAAGAATAAATAAAAATTATCGAAATATGACCATTTTCAAATTTCAAATAGATTATGACAGAGCTGTATACGCATAAATGTATAAGTAGCAAAATTCAACTTTTGTTGTAGTTTTGAATTTAACAGTGTGATATAGCTGTTACCAATAGGCGAATTTCTTAGGTTGACGATACTGTTCCTGTTATTGTGTTTTATGAAATAACTTTTCTTTCATACCATTTTTTGACTTCTACCTTATTCATAGCTTATAGAATAGATTTCGTTTATTTTTAGGGTAGTATATTTATTAGGGAGCTTCGTTTGCGACGACTATTTTTTTTTGTCACTCCATTGACGAAATAATGTTCTAAACATAGAAAAAAAATTCCCTCCAAAGGCGAGCTCTTAATTTTAATTTTACTTAAGTAGGTACTCGCTAAATGAATTTAAAGTTTTCCCTTTTAATTAACCCGTAAAAATTTTTTTTGCTTAAATTATCTATAGCATAGCGACATTTCATGGCATTCATTTGAACATGTGTTAATCTGTCTTGTAGGAAATTAAATTCACTACAAAAAAGGTCCTTTACAATTTTGGTGTCAAGACAATAGTTTAGGAGATTTTTGAGCACAAAACAACTAAATAAAAATCCCAAAACCCTTGCCATTAAAAAATTTGAATTATCTCATTATTGTGTGAAATAGTGGAATCGAATGTACTATGCTCCACACTCAAAGTCCCACCACGTGACCACGTACGGAACGCAGTCTTTTGAAAATTTGGCATTTAAGGCTTTTCTGGTTATGTATTTCTCAAAGTACCTATAGTCAATGAAATAAATAATATTTATACTGTTACCGCTTATGTTTAAGCGTTAAAAGTTAATAAATCTTAAGCCTATAGTATCACAATAACAATGGTTGGTTTAAGAATTTAGGAATATAAATACTTCATTTAATGAAATTCCAAAGTGTAAGGTGCAATATTAGTGATATTTTTGTGCATTGGGTATGAATTACTGTGGATAAAGAACTCAGAATACCGTTACGGTTAAAAATACTGCAAATGTAAAAATGATATCATAATGATAAAATAGTTTTAACTAAACAGCATTTATTAAAAAAAATATAACTTCTCTATTATGAAATAAGAATATCTGTTTCAAAGGTAGGTTAATGTATTAGAACAAACAATAATTTTGCATTTTAAGGTTAGAAAAATCTATTTTGACCAAAATAAATAAGTGGATTATTTAGAAGAGTGTGTTAATATGGTCATAAATAAATATAAGTAAACTAAATTGTTGAATATGGTTCAAATTAAATTGAAGCTTTTATACTTCTAATGACAAAACTTGTGCATACCTCTTGGCATACCTACTTTAAGTTAGATTATAAGGAAACAAACAATTTTTAGAGAAACTTGCAATGTGAAAATATCGAGGAAAATATTTAATACTCCCATGACATGTGATTTATTAAAATTTGTAAAGTTATAATGATTTTTCGATGTAGATCAAGTTCAGTCAAAGCTTTTTAACTATTTGTATTGACAAAACTTTATGTACACTTTAAGCTGTATAAGAAAAACTACCACATTTTTAAATACCATATTATACAGTCTTTTAAATATTCCAAAATACTTATTTATTTTGGTCAAAATAAATTTTTCTAACCTTAAAATTAGAAAATTAGATGATATTTTTGTTATAATATATTAACCTACCTTTAATACAGTTATTCTTATTCCATAATAGAGAAGCTAGATTTTTTTTAATAAATGCTGTTTAGTTAAAATTATTTTATGGAGAAAACCAGATATTTTATGGGGCGCCGTTTTATTTTTTATTCAGTAATTATTTTTATGTGTTAACAATAAAGTCATATTTTTAATTAGATACAAAATATCACACAAGAATTTTTATTCTGCGAATTAATAATATCATAGCAGATATTTTAAAATTAGATTTAATTTTTATGCCAAACTGATATTTTTAATTTAGCGAATTTAAATTATCTGTTTCTTATATTTGTATTTTTATTGCTCAATACATATTTTTAATTCGCTAAATTAAAAATTAGATTTAATTTTTATGCCAAACTGATATTTTTAATTTAGTTAATTTAAAATATTTGCTTCTAATATTTGTATTTTTTTCCTCAACACATATTTTTAATTCGCTTAATTAAAAATATCGTATGACAATTTTTTAAATGTATTAAAATTGTCATAGCAGGTATTTTGAATTTGATTTAATTTTTATTTTATTAAATAAGCAGATATTTTTAATTCAATGTGATATTTTTAATTCCGACTGGTTGAGATTTTGGATACCCCTGTTATTCCAAACGATATAAAAACCGACCCACTCCAACGACAAACTAACGCGCTCTCTCCTTGTTCTGCACACGCTGGGTCAGTGCGACATCGGACTCACGTATGTCGTAGATCTCAATTATTGTGCCGCCATCTAGCGATAAAATTATTTTGTAATGCCAGGGATGTCCAAACTTTCAGTCGGAATTAAAAATATCACATTGAATTAAAAATATCAGCTTATTTAATAAAATAAAATTTTAATCGAATTAAAAATATCTCCTATGATATTTTTAATACATTTAAAAATTTCTCCTATGATATTTTTAATTTAGCTAATAAAAAATACATGTTTACCAAAAAAATACAAATATAAGAAGGAAATATTTTAAATTCATTATTTTAAAAATATCGGTTTGGCATAAAAATTAAATCTAATTTTGAATTAAGAGAATTAAAAATATGTGTTTAACTAAAAAATACAAATATAAGAAACAGATATTTTAAATTCACCCTATTAAAAATATCTGCTTGACATATAAATTAAATCTAATTTTTAATTAAACGAGTTAAAAATATGTGTTTAACAAAAAAAAACAATTAAAAGAAGTAAATATTTTAAATTAAATATATTAAAAATATCAGTTTGTCATACAAATTAGATCTAGTTTTTAAAATATATGTATAAATAAAAAATATCACATGAACATGTTTAATCTGCGAATTAAAATTATTATAGCAGATATTTAAAAGTTAAATTTAATTTGTATGCCAAACTGATATTTTTAATTTAGTGAATTTAAAAGATCTGTTTTTTATATTTGTATTTTTTGTCAAACACATATTTTTAATTTGCTTAGTTAAAAATTAGATTTAATTTTTATGCCAAACTGATATTTTTAATTTATTGAATTTAAAATATTTTCTTCTTATATTTGTATTTTTTTGGTAAAACATATTTTTAATTCGCTTAA